CAAATGATATGAAAAGAATAGGGAAGACATATGTGTTATGTGGTCAGTAGCACCGGAATCAATAACYCAAGAAGTAGAGTCAATAGAGCTAGTGGCACTGAAGGCAGAGGCTGTACCTGATCTGGCAAGAGATGTAGAAGCAAAAGAATTATTTCTTAGACGGGCTAATGCCCTGCTAAGGACCTCTACTTCATTAGCAGTGAAGCCCAAAGTACCAGTTCCAAAGGAATCAGCAACCTGTCCCATAGGAGAAGAAGACACTGTTGATGTATTTTGTGAGTTGTCATCATTGTTGCTGGTGACAGAATTCCAACTTGCCGCAGGCCTGTTATCTCTAGAAGAAACATCTCTGGGTATTGAAGACATCTTGACTGCAACCACTGTGCAGGTGACCCTGATTAAGACTAACCGAAGCAGTTCTGAAGGTTCTGAACCAGTTCTGGAGCAGATTCTGATTAGCCGAAATGATCACAGCAGGTTCTGACAGCACTCGACACAGTTTCAGACTTGCCGAGACTGTCACAGTTCAGTTACCACAGCAATCATGGAGTTCTGGGCTGGTAACCGATCTGAAGCTAAGGATTCTCAACTATTGTGCTATGCAGACTCCACTTGAACTTCGAGTACTGCAACTGTAAAGAGAGTGCCCTTCCTTGCGGCCAATACTAGGACTGCTGACATCAGTCCTCAACTAGGKTTCACAGTGCTRAAMAATYTGGARMTGGCAGCTCCCTAGGTAATCTCACAGCAGTGGTGAGGGGTTTCGGACTGATAACCAACCTGAACTTGGTGCTGTTTACCACTTTGCTATGCTGGTAGAAGTGTTCACAGTGTTGGTAGAACACTAGATAGACTTCACTTAGGCTGAACCGAAACTGCAACAGTTCGGGTACAGTAGCAAGTGAACAGTTCGAGGCTGCAACAGTAGCAAGTGAACAGTGGCTCTGTAGACGAAGCTAAGTCTGTGCGTGTCTTGCTGGATCACTGAAGCTGCAACTGTAGAAGAAGCTAAGTCTTTACCTCCGTTCTGTGCAAGTCTTGCTGGAGCACCGAAGCTGCAACTGTAGAAGAAGCAAAGCCCCTTTCGGCTAGTGCTAGGACTGCTGAAATCAGTCATCAACTAAGTCTGTCCTATACAGACCTTTCTTAGTAGCCAAATAGCTACTATTTGCTGGAAATAACCTAGTAGGACATCTACTTCTGGGTCTTACTTCCCTTGAGTCCTACAACCAAGAGAAACCCTAGGTTCGAACTTGCTTTACTCTCTTACACCCCTAGGTCTCCTCTGCAGAATCCCAGAAAAGGAAGAGAGGAGATGAAAAGACAGCAAGAGAAGAGAGTGTGTGCTAGCTGAAACTAGGAAGAAGCTAATGCTCTGATACCATTAAAGCTAAACCACTATAGCCGAAGTAGCAGAAAGGAGAAGAAGAAGAAGAAGAGATGCTGGAATGTCGAACTGTACGAGCCAGTCGACCATGTTATTTTTTATATTTGAATGTAGTACAAGATACAAGTAATTATTGGAATGCCCCTGATTAGTGATGGGACGCACATTAATCTGGCTTAGGCCCATTAACACAGGCCCAATTACAGGATAACTTGAACTTAAGTATGGGCTAATAAGAACTCTTATCAGCCGAACACTCATACAAAGTGGCATCTTTCAACATTCTAACACATTGTTCGAGGCTTGGAACATGAATCAGAGGGAGTAGTCCATCTTCACCTTGCTAGGTCCATAGAGTATCATCCCAGCTCCGCTACCGCGCTGGTTGGACGAGTTGTCCACATGGAGGATCCAGGGCTCCTTGTCCCAAGTTGGGTCGGGTGCCGCACTGGTTGACGCCTTCGAGGTGATCACGAGCTTGACAACTTCAGGGTTCAGTGTGCTGAATGTACTCTCAATGACGAAGTCAGCTAGGACTTGTGCCTTGATCGCTGGGTGATGTAGCGCGATCCGGCTTCTCCTAGCTGGTGATGACTGGGCTTCCAGTAGACGACGAACTTGACTAATCTGCACAAGGAGAATCAGAGAACCCGGGGTGGTTTGCCCGGCGAGGTCACTCTGATTCTTAAGTCAGTATCTAGTTGCAGGTTGATGAGAGCTTAAGAAATCAAGAGAGCTAGAGAGCTGAGATTTCACATACCTTCGCCTCTAGAGGGTTGGGGTCTTTATATACTGGAGTCCTCGCGGGTTTTTCGGAGTGGTTTTGGGACCCTTGCTATGATGAGGCCTGTTTCCGTATTAACAGGAGATAACGCTGGTAGCTGATAAGGCTTATCACTGCCACCCGAATAGGACGGGGAGATAGTGCTAGCAGTTACGAGGCGTGATCCCGAAGAGCACGGGGTCTAGTGGTGAGATCTTTGGGGTTTCCATGTGGAGGTCAGCCTGACTAGGTAGTGAGCTGCCTGTGAAGTGCCGGGCTGGTTGGTGGCGAGCTGCCTGAGCTCGTGGGGGTCATGATGTTGCCAGGTGGTTTTCTTATGGCTGCCACTTGTCCTTCTCATTCTAACACCTTTTTCACCGAGCTGCCGTGCCTGATGGAGCCGAGGTGGTCTTGTTGGTACATAACATGAGGCGGCCGATCGGAATGAGGTGTTTTGTCTAAGCTGAGGTGTCACATTTTGGATGCCAATTGGTTCTCAGATCTGCTTGTATCAGTTTCCAACTTATTATTTGGGTCTGGTGATCTGGTCCTTTGGATTTGCAATGTAAAGTGTCAATTTGCTAAATGTTGCAGAGATGCATATCTTTTAAGTACGAATAAGAGTTATTTTCCATTTGCTCTTGTGCACTTTGATGTTTAGGCCTATTGCTACCACTTCATTGTTTGGTCATATGTATTTTGTTACATTTATTGATGATTGTACCAGATGTACTTGGTTTTATTTGATGAATTACAAATATGAAGTGCTTTACATATTCAAAATGCCATGGTTCCATGTCATCCTCCTCTTTTCCCATCATGGAGTGGTCAACACATATTATCTGCCTAAGTTTGGAATAAAATGCCATGGGACACTAAAACATCTTTTATAATCTATTATCATGGAATGCTAAAGTTGCAAATTGCAATGCTCAAACAGTTATGCAGTTCTGCTTCTTCAGTGGCTTTTCTTTTTCTGTGTATGTTTATTTGCCGAGTGATGTTTCTTGCAGAGGATGATGAGCAATCTTTGAATCAAGTGCCCGGCAATAATAGAGATCTTCAAACTGAGGATGGAAAAGTGACTCTGTTTCCTACCTCTGTAATAGGAGTGTTGCAAGAAATTGGGCGGAGGTGTGGCTCTAAGGTATAGATCGTGTGCTTTTGGATGAGCACTTTCTTTTGACTTTCCTATTTTTTACACCGTGCAACCTTTTGACTTTTTAGATGGAGTTCAGATTTATTGACAGTACCATTAAGGATCGACGGTATTCTGTTGAGGTCAGTAAAAGTTACGGATTTTTTATTTTATTTATTGGTTTATTGTTTGTTATGAAGAGATGTTCTAGAAACAAGAGGTTTTAAGATATGTAGGTCAAACAGAAAATATGCAATATAAGTTTAATAATTATAGGAATAGCATTGAGGGTACAGTTTAAGATTGAATATCAAGAGATGCCTCTATTTGGCCTCTTTATTGCTTTGGTTTGATAGTTCATAATTGGGTAGAGATTGAGGAGGATGTCACCATAGAATTAGAGTGGGATGGGCTAAATGGATGGGTGTATTTGGAGTCTTTGTATGATAAAAGAATACCAGTTAAACTGAAGGAAAATTTCATAAAATGGCTATAGTGCTAGAAATTTTATATGTAGCAGAGTGTTTAGTAGTCGTAAATAAAACATCTAAAAAATGAGTGCAGTAGAGATGTCAATGTCGAGGTGAAGGAGTGAGAAAACTAGAAAAGATAGGATCAATAATAAGCATATTTTTGGGAATTTGGAGTAGCTCCAAGAGGTGATAAAATGAGGGAAAGTTGACTAAGATGGTTTAGTCACATGTGGAAAATACCACCTTTCACACTAGTAAGAATGAAATGCAAGTTAAAGGGTCTAAAAGAGCTAGAGGCAGGCATAATAGGACATGTGTTGAAGTAGTGAGAAATGATTTTGGGGCCCATAATTTGACATAGTTATGGGCTTATTACATTGAAAAAAAGTGAAGTGGTGAAATGGGATTTAAGATGTAGCATACCCCATATTGTTGGGGAAGGCTTTAATGAGTTGAACTGAGTAGTTCTCTGAAGTTAGAAGAACATTGATGGTGGTGCTATGTCCTTCAAGATGGGGCCTTGGTTTCTAGCTCACTACCTAAACGAAATTAGGGATGTTCTGCTTGGGATGAGAGTTTAAGTCAGATGGATTCCTATTTAATGGCATGCTTTAAATTTAAATTCAAATTTGAATATTGATTAAATATATCAAATGTAGCATTAAATATAGGAGTTATTGAAAGAGTGAGAGTAACTTATTATTAGAGAGAGAAGGAATTGTATTGAATAATAAAAGATCCAAATGTATTGGCCAATAAATATATAGTATTGGTCCATGTCGGGCCTGTATTGGCTGATATAGATCTGAAATGACCTGATACAGGCCTGTATCAGATGAAAAGAAATGAAACCTTTGGTTTTGTAGCGTTCCACGTAATAGATCCTCACTGGATTGGTACATATCGGCTGATACGGATCAATACATTATGGAATTTAAAACCTTGATCAGGACTCTGTCCATGGATTTGCCTAGGAGCCTGTTTACATCCGATTTTTACCTGTGGTGCTGGTGTTGTGTGCCTGCTCAATTTTTTTACTTCCTTGCTTATATTGTATTTGGGAATTTTCTCTTTGCTTTGAATTATGTTGTTATCTTCTGTTGGCAAGAACTATTAAAAAGAATTTATGCTGAATCCTCCTTTATTTCACTTTTACACAGACACAAACACAGACACACACACACACACACTTGTATTCTTGTTAAGATGGTTAGGGTACAGTGAATTATCACCATTTCACTTTGTATTGTCTTGGTGTTTCATTTTCTTTGAATTGTATTAGCAATTGTTTTTTTGGTCAGTGACAATTGGTGCTGATAATCGTCATTCTTTTGAATATATTTGTATATTCATTCTTGTGGAATGCTGAAGTCCAAAATTTATGTTTTATGCTGATAATATGGTAAGCTAGCTTGGTTTATTTGTTTAGGTCTGGTTCACTGGTGAAAGGATTGGTGTTGGGGTGGGTAAGACAAAGAGGGATGCACAACAACAAGCAGCTGAGAATGCCCTTCATAGCCTGGCTGGTAAAACTGTCATCATTTTCTCACGCTTCTCTTATTAATTACTACTGCCGGGTCAGGTGTCTTAATGAGTGGCTTCTTTGTTATAAATATCTTATATATATGTATATATAAATATGATTTCTTTGTTATAGATCTCTTATGTTTATATGTGTGTGTGTATAGACTACATAAGATAGGCACATTGGGACAAAATTCTTATGACCAATGGGATTAAAAAAACTGATAACCCTTCTCAGAGGAGGGATATTTAAGGAAGATACATGTAATAGACCAAGGATCCAACTTACCACAAGAAGGAGACAAATCATGAATAGAGGTACAACAACCAAACACTCTCATGTGGATAGAAAATAAAGGAGATCGAGGGAACTATAACTGATGACTTGATGAGGGGCCTTGTATTTCAATATTCTGGAGCACATACAGTTGATGACATATGCAACAACAAGTACAACATCAATCCAAAATTGTTTTGGTACATTTATATGTAACATCATCCCTCGTGCTACTTCAAGAAGGTGTATGTTCTTTTTTTCTGCAACATTGTTTTGTTGCAGTGTTCTTGCACATGACTCCTATTTAGTGATCCATGGGAAGAAAAAAAGTCATTGAGCCCACCATGGAAACATTCTTTTGCATTATCTGATTGAAAAATCTGTATCTCAACATGAAATTGTGCGAAGACCATCCTCCGGAAGCCCCTTAAAATTTTTGGAACTTTGTCTCTAGTACACATGGGAATTACCCATGTATAATGGGAAAAGTCATCAAGTAGTATGATGAAATACTTATAACCATCCTTTGATGTTATACTAGTAGGTCCCTAGACATCAGAATACACAATGTGAAAAGGGAAATTTGGTTTTTTATTACTTGAATGAAAAATTGTTCTACATTGCTTGCTCAACTGACACGTTTGACATTGGAAATTTGACACTAAACATGACTTAAATAAAAAAGGAAACAAAGACTTCAATATTTCAAAGGACACATGACCTAAATGATTATGCCACAAGAAAACTTGACTCTTATTTGATTGACTCAATTGACTATGTGACACTGAGGATGTCACCGAGAAACCAGCCTTGTGTCAAGAGTATAGAGACCATCTACTAAGCTTCCTCTACCAATCATCTTCCCAGAAGTTATCCTGAAAAACACATGAACCAGGAAATGGGCTACACTATAGTTTAAAAAGTTTGTGATACTTCTAATGGAATGTAAATTGATAGGAAGTTTAGGTACATGCAATACATTATTAAAGGTTAAGGCCATAGGGAAGGGATATTGATTCTTAGCCTATAGTGAGGGAGAATGATCCATCTACAAGCGTCACTTTATCTCTATTGGGCAAAAGGCTGCAA